CTGCTGTACAGAATACAATGTGTGTGAGTTGTTCCTGGCATAAATTGCTTCTGCCAGCTTTAGTCTTGGTCTGGCTCATTCCTGCAGTTTGTTTGCCAGAGGGCACATGGCTATAGAGCTGGGTGGGATCACAGGAGTGATGTAGGGAATTCTGGAGGATGAGCTAGCTCAGTGCAGCAGTATTGTTTGCATTTCCTCAGGAAGCAGTATTATGACATCTGTTTCATTTAATTTCATTCATTCTTGCCCTGTTGATGTTGCTCCATGTATTCAGAAATTTTGAAGTGTGCCTTGCACTCAAAAGCTCATCTAAATCTACCCCAAACATGCATTTGGTCTAATAAAAGATATCACCCACAAAAATCTTGCCTCTTACATGTTTCCTAGACCATCACAGATACAGCATAACTCTAACACTGCCATAAGTCAATAGAGTGCTCTTGGTTATCATTTATTTAGATGTGCTGACACAGACTACAGAGGCTATTGGCAAGTAAACTTTAACTTTACTAATAATGATACTAATTGTAAATGCTTACATGCTAGGAAATGTATAATCTACTGAACACCTCAACAAACACTTTGTTTCCTTTGTGATATATTTTTTTCCCCTTATGTTGTAATATCTAACTGTATTTTGTAGCACCGGAGATAAGTGGCGTTCCAGGAGAAAAATGATAACACCCACTTTTCACTTCACAATCTTGGCTGATTTTCTAGAAGTTATGAATGAACAAGCCAATATTTTAGTTCGGAAGCTTGAAAAACATGTTGACAAAGAACCATTTGATTGTTTTCTAGACATCACTCTGTGTGCCCTGGATATCATTTGTGGTAAGTCCTGGGTATGATTCAACAATTGCTAGGAAAGTGTAGTAAATGACAGCAATACAATAATAAAGAAACTTCCAAGTACAGCTGTTGTAGTGCTATTGGAGATCAATATGGAATATGAAATGAAAAAGAACTAAGGGAAGATGAATATTAGGACTAGAATCAGAAAAAAGAATACATCTACAAAATAATACCCTGCCAAGGGAATGTAAGTGTTTGCAAGTACTGCCTGACTGTGTTCATTTATTTATGATTATCTACCTGGCTAAATTTCTTTTTCTAGAAACTGCAATGGGCAAGAATATTGGTGCACAGAAGAATAATGATTCTGAATATGTCCAGGCTATTTACAAGTAAGGGTAGCTCTTTCAGGTCTGCTTTATTATTGTGTTGTTTAAGATTGGCCCAAGCCAACAGTAACACCTAGGTCTTACAAAAGCAAAATCCAGAGCTGTAAGGCACATGAACAAGAGCAGTTTATCTAGGTACAGTGTCTTAAGTATTATATTGTACCCATGTATGGAAACAGATGATGGAAGGAATGATGGCAAGGTGTAATGGGGTGCACCTCCAGGGGTGGTCATGACACCCCCTGGTAGCTGTACTACATCTGTCTACCTACCCTGGCCCCCTAATGTAGCTTCTCTTTCCCACCTGCCATGCCTTGATGTTAAGCTTAATATGCTGTTTAGGAGGTTGCCTTTGGGGTAATTGGGGCCCTGCCTTGATGCCTTGCCTCCTCCCTCATCCTCAGGGTGCTAGTATGGCTAGCGTATATCAGGATCCATCCTTCTTTTTTCCTTACTGTGTCAGGGCACTGTTGGTGTCTGTCTATCTAAGGGTTAGGTCAGGGCAGCCATTAATGCCCAGCTCTCTGTGCTGAGGGGGAGCAGCTTGTGACCAGCCAGCATAGATTCATAGATGTTAGGGTCGGAAGGGACCTCAATAGATCATCGAGTCCGACCCCCTGCATAGGCAGGAAAGTGTGCTGGGTTCAGATGATCCCAGCCAGATGCCTATCTAACCTCCTCTTGAAGACCCCCAGGGTAGGGGAGAGCACCACCTCCCTTGGGAGTAGAGCCTCACCAATCCCCTTCGGCCCCCCCCTGATGAATTTATAGGCAGCCACAAGGTCGCCTCTCAACCTTCACTTGCGGAGGCTGAAAAAGTCCAGGTTCTCTAGTCTCTCCTCGTTGGGCTTGGCCTGCAAGCCCTTAACCATACGAGTGGCCCTTCTCTGGACCCTCTCCAGGTTATCCACATCCCTCTTGAAGTGTGGCACCCAAAACTGCACACAGTATTCCAACTGCGGTCTGACCAGTGCCTGATAGAGGGGAAGTATCACCTCCTTGGTTTTGTTTGTCATGATAAAGTGCATGACAGATGCATGATAAAATGCAGTTAGCTTTGCTGATGACTTCGTCACACTGACGACTCATGTTCATCCTGGAGTCCGCTAGGACTCTAAGATCCCTTTCCGCTTCCGTGCTGCCGAGCAGGTAATTTCCTAGGCAGTAGGTGTGCTGGATATTTTTCCTCCCTAGGTGCAGCACTTTTAATTTCTCCTTGTTTAATCACATTCTATTGTTTTTTGCCCATTTGTCCAACCTGTCCAGGTCTGCCTGTAGTTGTTCCCTGCCCTCCAGTGTGTCCACTTCTCCCCACAGTTTTGTATCATCCACAAACTTGGACAGAGTACACTTCACTCCCTTGTCCAAGTCACTGATGAAGACATTAAAGAGTATTGGTCCAAGGACCGAGCCCTGCGGGACCCCACTGCCCACGTCCTTCCAGGTCGATACCAACCCGTCCGCCACCACTCTCTGGGTACGACCCTCTAGCCAATTTGCCACCCACCGGACTGTGTAATCATCCAAGTCACAGCCTCTTAATTTGTTCACCAGTATGGGGTGGGATACTGTATTAAAGGCCTTCCTGAAGTCTAAGTAAATGATATCTACCCCTACTCCTGCAGCCAGGTGTTTTGTAACCTGGTCATAAAAAGAGACTAGATTAGTCAGGCATGATCTACCTGCTACGAACCCACTACGAACCCATGCTGGTTTCCCCTCAGCATAATTTTTCTTGCTGGGCTCTCACATATATGAGCGTTAATAATCTTTTCAAAGATTTTACCAAGGATGGAGGTGAGACTGACTGAAATATCTCCCTCCTGAGCTCTGTTGCTCCAGGAAGACCTTGGAGGTAAGGGTAGCAGCTGATGGGAATGGTCCTGGGCATGGCCTTAAACTGCACGCTGCTGGGGATGGGTGGTCTGGTGGGGCTCCTAGTGGTGTTGAAGCCCCCAGGAAGTGCCAGGGCAGTTACCTCCCCAGGGAAAGGCAGGTCAGGGTGTCTTAATAACCCCAGCCCCCACAACTGGGTGGGTAATCCCATAGCAAGGCCCAAGAAGGTGGACCCATGTTGGAGAGTGTGGGCTAGTTGCTCAGAAGCCTGAATTGAGGCACCCTTGACTGGTCAGTGCTGGGGCCAGGACCAGAAGGGTCTAGAGGGCCAGGGGCCCACTGTGAGGGATGCCCAGAGCTGAGGGCCTGGGGTTCTGACTGGCCTTGGATGTGAGGCCAGGGCCGGTATGGCCAAAGGTCCTGGGGGGACCACACCCAAGAGGGGGAAGAGTGCAAGGAGCTTGGCAGCCCAAAATGAGGATGGAGTAGGCTGCCTGATTAGGAGGGATCTAGTTGGGGTCCAGACCAGAGGGTTATGGGGCCCAGTGTGGTGTTGTAGACATTAAGAGCTTAGATGCCATCTGCAAGGTGCATAGACTGCAGTGTAGGGGAGGTTTAGAGCTGCAGATAGCGCCTCCTAGCATTGGGGTGCAGTAATGGGCAGCCTTCCACCTAATTAACACCATAATTATGTATCATCAAGGCATGGCAGGATAGAGATGCAGGTGGCTAGCCCAGAAACAGGTGGGTGGGAAGGCCCCCTGTTACACTTACCTTCTCTGTCTTTGACTGGGACTTGAGTCCCTGATTGGGCGCCTGCCTGCCTTGCTTCGTTCTAGGCCCCTGGTCCATCTGGGCTTTGGCTCCTTCCTGGGCCTCAGCCCAGCTGAAGCTTTTGCCTCTTCCCTCCCAGAAACACCCACAAAATACAAGAAATGGGTCAACTGAAGAAAAAAACAAGCACAAAAGAAGTCACTAGACAATGAGCACTCTGCTCTGCAGCCTCCATGTCCACTGGCTGTTGCTAACAAATGAGCAGAGTAAAAGGAAAAAGAAAAGCAGACTCCTAAAAAGTTTACATAAACAGTTCTCCATCCTCTGGGCACAGTCAGTCCCCCATGACTATGCTGAGTTACCATAAACAGTTCTCAGTCCATTGCATGCTCTGTCTCCCCAGGAACCCTCCTGAGTTAACATAAAAAGTCTTCAGTGCTTCCCAAGGGTGTAGGTCTTCCTCAGTGCTTCCCATGCACTCACTTTCTTGTCACCAACAGAGGTTCCTTTTCTCAGTCTGCAGCCCCAGCTGCTGGGCTTGCATTCATTTATGTCCCCCTGGAGAGCTCTGTCCTTCTCTACTGCTAGGACCAGGCCCCCTCTTCTGTCCTGGATGGGAGCTTATATCCCATCTGCCCCTCCCCCCTTGGTCAGCTGACCAGGTTTCCAGCTGACCTGACCCAGATGCTGCTAATTTCCCCTTCCCATCTCACTGCTGTGGTTTGCTGCTGGCTGTTTACAGGCTAGGGTGGGCAATTATTTTGGCTGGAGGTTCGCTTAATGAGTTTTGGTGAGTTGTTGAGGGCTGCAAGAGTAGTCCCACTCCTTGACAGGTGTCCTGCCCCCTGGTCACCATCTTGGGACCAGAAGTCCCACCCCCTAATCCCTGACCTTTGCCACTGGAAGTCCGTCCCTTTTCCCCCAGAAGGACTCCTTTTGGGAGTGGGTTTTGCTGTCTTGGAACTGGATAAAAACAAATTATATACTAAAAATCAAACATCAGGGACCTAGCAGACCTCCTGAGGCTAAAAAGAAAGGCCTACAAAGGATGGAGGATGGGAGTCACCTCCAAGGAGGATTATTCTGCACTGGTCCGGTCCTGTAGGGAGCAGACCAGGAAAGCCAAGGCTGCAACTGAACTCCAGCTAGCTTTGAGCATCAAGGACAATAAGAAGTCCTTTTTCAGATATGTGGGGAGCCGGAGGAAAAGCAGGGGCAACATTGGACCCCTGCTGACCCAGATGGGGCAACTGATAACTCTGAATAACATATGAGCTGGAGTGACAGCCTTCATGTGGTTCTAGAAGGATGAGAATAAGATAGATGGCTGTTTGTGTAGATGTACTAAACTGCAAATCCAGGGGTCCATAGAGTATGGAAAATATGCCAAAAGCTGGGTTGTCCCTTCCATCCCACAGACCCCATTGATTTCCTGCAGGGCAGGAATCCCCCCTTGCAGAGCAGCTTGCAAGATCAGGGTAAATCCATTTCTAGTAACAGACTTTCTCACGCACCCTACCCACTACATTCACGTTTCTCCACTTAGCCCACCTTGGCATCCTTCTGAACCCTGTTATTTTTCAAAACTATTTGGAGAATAGAGAGTGAGTTCTGAATGCCAGCAAGCAACTCTGCCTCTACTGAACCAAGCGGAGAAAGCAGTTGCACTTGAATTTCCCAATTGCCAATTCTCCTTTTTCCTTTCTAACACCAGAATGGAAAGAGCTTTTAGCAAAACTCTCTCTCTAACTTTAGCGGCTGCTCCAGTACCATATAAGGAGACGGGCCATTTCCAAGATCCAAAATATTGAGGGTTTCAGGAGGTTGAGAAAATGGCGAGTTCATATTTATACAGAAACAAGTGGTATGTCAATCCAAATCACAGAACCCGTGCAAAATGCACTCTCTGACAGGAACGCCGCTAAGCAGCGGCGTTCAGCGCCTCGTTTTTAGGCAATCGTCAGGTAAAGCTCCATCTAGAATAGATTGAACTAAAGCAAGATGACAGGAACTGGGAACCCCCAAATCCGAAAGAAATAGCTTTAGGGATGAAAAAGGAGAGTGTGTAAATAGCAAAAGTAGAGGTACCACATTTTGGAGCCAATTGCTTTAGAGAATAAGTGTGTTTTTAAAAACGGATTAAAATAGATTTCTGCAATGGAGGAGCAGGGAGTGCACAAACATTTTTATTTTTGCTCTCAAGCAAATCCCGGGACGTCATTCTCCCCCTGTACTCGGCCTTAGTGAGGCCGCAGCTGGAGTACTGTGTCCAGTTTTGGGCTCCACAATTCAAAAAGGATGTGGAGAAGCTTGAGAGAGTCCAGAGAAGAGCCACGCGCATGATCAGAGGTCAGGGAAGCAGACCCTACGATGACAGGCTGAGAGCCGTGGGG